CACGATCTGTAATTTTTTCCTAGTGTTCTCTAATTCTGGTAGTCATCCAGAGGGAGAAACAAGAAGAACGTAGGTTTCGTCTGTTTCTAGCTGTCAAAGTATGAATTCGATTCTGTAACATGGGCAGTGGGAAGCTGATGTTGCTGCTGTTGTGAAATATGTAATTGTCATGTTTTGTTGTATTTCTCTACAAAGCTGAGAAGACAGCTGACCCCTCAGATGCTGCACCATCCGATGATGTTGTGATCGTGTACGAGCTCACACCTACCCCAGAGCAGAGAGCTCTCGCAGGCTTTCTTAAGCTCCCTTCAACCTTCTTCTGTTACAAGAATAAGCCTGGATATGTGAGTGAAGAGGATGATGGTAAGGAATGTCAAAGTTGATCTGAGTGTTGCATTTTTTGTAGGGAACGTGCATTGTACTAGAATCAACAGGCTCTAATATTGTTGATACTGATGACAGCTGTCATCTTCCTTTTGGCCAATGACCCTCCGCCTCCCTTCCCCACCCTGCTTTGTGATTCTCCTAATAAAACGAACACGATGCTTGTTTTCTGGCAGTGTGAAACCTGTGCCATGAATCTAGGCAGAGAAAGTGTCAGTAGTGTAAGAAGGCACTGGTACATAAGTAAGAATTGAAAGCTTGCTTGCTGATATGTCAAGCTCTTAAAAGACTTGCAGAAGTCTTGAGTGCTTGACCTGGCTTGTGAGTCTGAAGGGCTTAACAAATTTAGACTTCTTTGTATTTGGAAGATCCCTGAGAACTCATACTTGTTTCCTGTGTTTTAAGATGAAGACTATGAAACAGCAGTTAAGAAACTTAATGGAAGACTGTATCCCAGCAATGAAAAAGAAAAAAGGAAATGGCAAGGTATGTCTGAAAACACAGTGGTTGATCTTTAATTTCTTAGATGCTGAAGCTGAATCTCTAAATCTGGAGGACACTAGAGTAGATAAGTGAATTTGGATAGGTCTGTAAAGGAGGTTTGCTTTCTTTGGCTGACTTTCTGTGCACTAAAAAAAGGTGGCATATATTGAGCTACTAGAAATACAAGTGAGTGTCAAAGGAAGCTAGTAGCAGTAGTGGCAGTTGCAAGATTGCAATCATTATTGCATGGAGGCTCTTTGATACAACAGAAAACCACAGTAGGACAAATGTACAGTTCTTTAGCTCCCTTGTGACTGTGAATGAGTGACTTTTAAAATGATGATGCTATTACCAAAGTTTTAAACTTGAGATGTTCTGAGTTCCATTAGGTTAGTTTATAATGTATATGTAGGAAATGATCACAGTATTCAGCTGTCTGAACAGCTGTTCTCCACTAATTTTTGTTCTTTGCAGTAGGCACTGCAGTCAAACAGGAATTGGAGAGGGAATGT